ACTGGATGCAACAAATGCCTCGTTTATAATGGGTTTTCATGTTTTTGAATCATCGCTCCGGCCGGACAGGGCATCATCACAATATGATAAGGGGTGTAACATTTCCGTCACACGCTTGAGGTATTCAGCCAATCATAACGCATTGGATAGTTGGCCAATCAGAGCACACCTCGCTTTTCAGATGATGAGCTTTGTAAAAATCGATGTGTTTCAGAAAGGCGGGGCATAGAGGAGAAACAATAATGTACAGTATGTGGAAAATAATGCGTTTTTTTTATCTTAAACCGCATAAACACATTTCATTACACCAAATACACAAAATAATGTTCTTTTTAGCAACATCATATGACGCCTTTAATAAATATATTTTGTATTTAAAAATTATTTTATTTTTTTATTATGTTAATATAAATATTTATTATAAAATACATGTTATTTTATCCACCTTATTTTTCCCGTAAGAGCGGGCGCGGCCATTTGTGAATTTTATGGGTCTGGCTTCCAGTCTCATCCACATCCAGCTATTTTTAGCTGTACAAAACAGCTTGTTTTGCTGCTTGATATTGCAAATTGGTGTGTCTTACCATATTATTTATGTATTATCTTATGAAAACACTGGTTTGTAGTGCAGACAGTTTTACCGTTTACTGCACGCTGTTATTCTTCTCGTTATTTCCCTACAGCGTCTAATGAACCAGAAGTCTCGCACATCGGCTTACTTCCACATTGAAGAATTATGTTGGTGTTTGTCTGTGTGTGTCTGTGTCTGTGTGTGTGTGTGTGTGTGTGTGTGTGTCTGTCTGTGTGTGTGTGTGTCTATGTCTGTGTGTACTTATACTGCAGAAAGGTTGTATTATGGTTTTGCACCCCTGAAGCGCATTATTGAATATCGTCATGGCAAGAGAATGTGACTGTTATGATAACAGAAACAAAGTGTTCTCATTATGTTCAAAAGTTAATTTACTTTACTGTCTGTCAGTGGCTTCAGTTTAATTCATATCTCTGCTGCCCCCAGCTGGACTGTAAAATATAATGCAAGAAGTGGGAATTACACTTGCATTTTAAAAGGCTCTTGACACAGGATTTGTATTGCAATTAATAATGTAATAAATAATGCAAATAATATATTAAAGTGATAACCTGTTAATGTGAGCTGACTTTAATCATGTTAAATATATTCTTATGGGTTCCAGTGGTATCTGTAGTCTTTAATATAATTTCACACAAAGGTTCTGAATATCCAGCGGCTTTATTGAGAGGGTGATGTTGCTTAATATAGTTAATATAGAATAGCATACAACATTTCTTGTTAATTTTGAATATTTTTTACTAGAATTGAAAATAATTTTATTTTAGTGCAGTGACTTTCCATACAAGAAGCTGTACGCCTACTGTATAGTAAAACGTGACTTCATTCTGGTTGAATCCTCCTTCAGCAGCTCTTTATGATTAATCATGATTATGATTAATTTATCATATTCATGATACTGTCGCATGAAGCAGTTTTTGTCTACCAGTGTTCAGGAAACCTGTGTATAAACGTTATTTCGGTGCAGAAATTAGTGTCAGTACAGACGCCCATCTGAGTGATCCACATCTGTATTCTTGCACATCTGTTTGTGTGTCTAAAGACAAGACTCCCTGTGTCTGTCCGCAGGGATCTCAAAGCTGGAAACATTCTGCTGGGGGAGGACGGATCAGTGCAAATCGCAGGTACCAACTTTCTCTTTAACTGCACTTACTTTCTGCTTAACAGTGAAAAATGCCCATTATAGTCCAGATAATGCAAAAAGCACAAACATACTGTACTGCTGTGATATTTAAAGATCTTTTTTTTTTTTTTTTTTTTTTTTTTTGCTGAAAAGGGGGCAATTTTTTTCCGCCCTTCATCAAAAAATCTGTTCAACCTCTGGTACAAAAAAGTCTGTGTATATAATGTATTCTGTGTCGTTCACACACGGATCGATCACATGTGTATCCCTCTGCATTTTATTTTTGAATATTTATACGTTTTCCAAATCAGACATGTTTCTCTCCTCTCGTTGCTCTAAGAAATATTTAAGCGATTATCAAGTCATGCTCATGGACAGCAGGAGTGTTACCAACCAATCTAATCGTCTCCAAACATCTGTTACACCTCAGGAACACCTCCAAATGCGCTTGAGTTTGGAGTGGACATGTGTTAGTGTGTTTTGATTTGCCCAGCAGGAGTGAACAACTGGGGCCTCTCAGAATATGTTGGTGTTTGTCTGTGTGTGTGTGTCTGTGTGTGTGTGTGTGTGTGTGTGTGTGTGTGTGT